AACGACTTAACGAGCATCAATTAGCACCTACAAAACCAGGCTAAGGAGAGGAAAGACTCAATACAGACAATCAACTGCCCCAAGACAGACACAGTCTTGCCACGAGTTTTGTCTGTCAGCAGCCAGGAGTGCAGGGCCCCAGAACCCCCCTGCACCGATCTCCTCCACAGCTGGCAGGCGTCACAGCAGGGGCCACCATCCCTGCAGCTGTCACCCCGCTGCGCCTTAACACACGCAGTGTCACCCATGGCACGAGTTTTGCTTGTCTGCAGCTTGGGGTGCAGTTCCCCCCAAACCCCTGCACCTATCTCCTTGAAACTTGGCAGGCTTTGTGGCCTCAGTAGGAGCTACCACCCCTGCAGTTTTGACTGCCCCCCCCTCCCCATGTTGTAACACACACCCATGACAGGAGTGTTTGGCTTTCAAGAATTTGGGGTACAGTTCCAACCAAACCCCTGCACTGATCATCTTGAAACATGCAGGGTTCATGCTGTCAGCAGAAGCTACCATCCCTGCAAGTTTCATCCAAATCGGACAAAAAACAACAAAGTTATAGATATTTCATTGATTCCCCATTATACCCTATGGCCGGATCTCCAAGGTGGCTCCGAAGCTTCGGCTGGATCAAGGCGGAAACCTGGTCTGGAGCTCTGGATCAGATCACGGCCATCCAAAACAGCCAGATCCAAAGCCAGATCAGATCGCTACTAGCCACCCTCCTGTGGCCTTCCCAGGGCAGCCACCCTGTTCCCGGGCAGTCCCAGGTGGCAGGGATGGTGCACAGGGTGCTGAAAGCCCACCAATCCCAAGTTCTCCCGAGTACGCCCGGGCTTCCAGCACCCCATGCACTATTGGATCCAGCGGGTGCTGCCTGTGAGCTGGGGCTGCACCCTGCCCGGGCAGCCCCAGGGGATGCTGCTGCTGCAGCAGGAAGCACCGGGTCCCCCACAGCTCACGCATGCAGGCTGGACTGAGGAAAAAAATAAAAAAGCAGCAAGGGCCTGATCTTATTTTTTCCTCTCCCAGAGCCTGCCTGCAGGAAATAAGATGCCAGTGGGTCATACAGCCCCTGAGCTGCAGGGAGCCCCAGTGCTTCCCTCTGTGGCATCAGTGCTCCCCAGGACCACCTGGGTTGGGTGCCAGCGGGCAGGTACCACCTGGGGGTGCTGCCACCATGGAGGGAAGCACTAGGGTCCCCTGCAGCTCAGGACCCTCTGGCAGCTTGCCCCCCGGCTGTAGGAGACGTAGGCAGGCTCTAGGGAAAAAAAAAAAAGGATTGGGCCCCTCACTGCTTTTTTTTTTTTCCACTTTGCTGGAGCCTGCTTGCTTTGTGGTGGAGGAGTAGGGGGTGCGAGCAGATGGGAGTGTGAGCTGATGGGACCATCACTTCTGTCAGAGTGATGAAAGTCCCTAAATTGAAACAGTAGGTTTTTGACTGACACAATTAAAAACCCACCAATTAAAAACCCACCACTTCAATTTAGGGCGAACTAAATCCCCAGCACGTGTACAAGTGGCCTTTCAGTGTATGTTAGTCTTGTGCAGGAATACATTAATGTACAGAACACTGGAGGTGTTTCCACACCTACAGATCACAGAAATAATCCAGCTGGTCTAGGCTCCAGTCTTAGGCAGTCAAGTCAAGTCAAATCAGTCCCGAGGCCACTGCAACCATTGGGGCACCTTAGATGCTGTAACAACCCTCCTCTACTCTGCCCTGTGTTTGTCTAGCTTTGCACACTCTGTCACTTGAAGCCCTGCCCAGTCTTGGACAATGGTCAGTGCCAATTACTTCAAAGGAGAGTATAAAAAAACCGTACACCAGGAAATAATGAACAATCTACTCAGAGAGGGAAGTTTCTTCCTAATCCTCCCATTGGTTAGAGATTGGTTTATGCCCTGAAGATCTCTCCCAAATGTTGATTTAACTATATGTTATGCCTTTAACCCTAGCTCTCATTAATGTGGATTTTCTCATTACTGTGTTGAATTCTTTTAGGCTCCTGGCTTTAATGATACCCTTTGGCAAGGAGTCCCACCAGCTAATTATGCAGTGTCTTTAATGGAATGTAGTTAACTGATGGAACTCATTGTTTCAAGATGTTGTGGAGGCTGATTACTTAACCAGGTCCAAAGGAGGATTTAGACAAGTTCATAAGTAGGTATTAAACACTGTAGTAGGGCAGCAACCTCCAAAGTTGGGTTTCTAAATGCTGGAAGCTGTAAAGGAAGCGAGGTAGGGCAAGATCACTCTGGGTAGGTCCTGAATAAGTATTCTTTCCTTGGCATCCACCCTCAGGTATGATGAGACACAAAATATTTCTGGAACCAGCAGCCTGTAGCCCACAGGCTGGATCTGGCCTATAAAGAGGCTGGATCTAACCCAAGAAGGTCCAGCCTAGCCCAGAGCATCAGGCAGCACACAGCTGCACTGAGCTGCTTGTCCCCACGGAGCAGCCCTGCCAGCTGCTTTCTGTGCCCATGCTTACCTTCACTGCAAAGGGAAGGTATCAGCAGGAAGAGTAAATGCTTGAACTCTCCTGGGGATGGGGAGGGGGGGAATTGCAGCCCACAGCAGAGAGCCAGGTCACAGAGGGCCTGGGGTGGCAAAATGTTGCTGATCCCTGGAATATTGGGGTAGATAGGCCTGTAGCCTGGCCCAAAATGGCACTGCTTTCCTTTTTTGGCTAGTTTATATTTGCTGCCTTGTATTTTATGGCTGGTGTTGCTTGTTGTGACATGTTATACCTGCTGTGACTAATGATTCACACATGGACAGCATTGATTGTGCTGTGACAATGACAAAACAAGGTTAATGAGATGGCCAACAGTTGTCAAAGCCCGTTTTTAATGGTTGGTTGACACAATACTTAAAAACACCTGCAGCTTTCCCACATTACAGTTTAAAATGTTAGTAACATTTTTTTTCATGTATAGCGACTATGTAGATCAGGTAAAAGAGGTTTTGACTATTGCTATATAGCTGAATTGAAGTTGGATCTTACCTAGTTCGGCAAGAATAGATTATAACAAACTATTAAATTTAGGTGCTGTATTCTGGCTGTGTAGGACGGCCCTAATGTAGTAAATTATAACATTATGGCTCTAAGGGTGAGATTATACATTTACAATTAGACCATGTTAATAGCACTTAAAACTTGAATGATGACACATTAAGGCTCATTAACAAGTACTAAGTGCCCTTTCTAAATGCTGGAAGCTGTAAAAGAAGAGAGGTAGGGCCTTTGGGCATCTTAAAATTACACCACTTGGGACAAGGATTAGCTGTCTGTGTTATGTAGGTTGAATTAAGTTAACCAGGGAAGAGGGAGGGGGTAGAAGGGGTGCTGCTGACTTGATGCCCCCTCTAAATTGCACCCCCTGCCCCCCAAATCATTCCCCTGCTACCCTAATCTTTCCCTCTGCCCCACATCAACCCCTCCACCTGTGGATCACTGCCTTGCTTCCATAATCAGCCTGAGAGTGGTGGAGGTGCTGGTGGGAGGGTCCTCTCTCCCTGCCTGCTCCTGGGGTTCCTACAGATCATGCTACCCCTGTGCACCCAGATCCAGTTCCTGCACCTGAAAGTGGGGGGGCAGGGAAAAGGGGTAAAAAGGAGGCAGGAAACTTCCAGACATCCCCAGGCCCTGGTGGGGGCTGCATCCAGATGCATGAGGTCAGCATGCACTAGAGAGAACCCAGGAGCAGTCAGGGGGAACCCACCCTCCATTGCTGCCTCCATGACTGCTGCTGGGCTGATTGGAGTAGCAGGGCAGCGATCTGTGTGTGAAAGGGCCAAACAAGGGTGGGGGATGATCCCCCCAGGGCCTGACTGGGGGCATCTGGGAAATCTGGGGGATGAAGGGGGTTATCCAAGCAGTATGGGAGGAGGCCCTTCCTTCCCTCCTCTCTGGCCTATACTGTGGCAGCGAGCAGGGCAGGCATGGAGTAGACTTGAAGTCCTCAGCCATGCCCCTGTGTGCCAGCCCTCTGGCAGCAGGTCTGAGCAGTGCCCATTAGAGAGGTTATTAACCCTGAATGTGTGACTGATCAGCTCACTAGTTAATGTTCACACGGACCAACGTTCTTTAGACTTAGCGCCTGCTGACTCTAACGTGCAATCTCACTATAGTTCTTATTTATTCAAAGGACTCTTTGCCCTACTCTGGCAGTGTATTATTCCCACAGTGGTGTGAGGCTTTAGTGTAAAGGAGAATTGAGCCCGTGGCGTATTTCCCAGTTTTAAGTAAACTCTTGATTAGCCATAACAATATTATTAGTCTTCCTTTTGTGGTTAAAAAGAACAATGAAGAAACTCAAAGGAAAACTTGTTTGAGTCTATCACATTGATTCAGAGACGCATGCTATTCTCAGCTGGCTCTTACTCATATTTTTCTCCAAGTATCTTTTTTCCTTTACACCTTTTCCAATTCTGTCCTTGCCAAATAAGAATCCTTAGTTATAACTGGTGCAACATATGTTCTAACACAAAGCATTGCCAAAATTCTATTTTTTTAATTTAAATTTCAGTGATTTTTAGTATAATTGTACCAGAAACTTGCAGTTGTTATTCTACTGAAAGAATAGCTCTAAAAGCCAGATACTGATCCAGATTTATGGCTATGACAAAAAGACCTGAAGGTCCAAGACAGCTACTGTGAGCTCTCCTGACGTAGTCCAACTGTCCCCTAGCCCACTCCCCTTGCATGAATTAGAAAAATCCCAAGGGCTGCTCTAAGTCTTGCTTTCCTGCCAGTACCTTAGATGAGTTATTGTACCAACAAGAGACTGACAGGGAACGTGGAAGTTTCAGTCATGTTTCTACTCTGGCCACAAGGCTCAGGGTGTTCATGAGAGTTAGACAGTTTTACATTGTGAAGGTTATTCTCTTTACAAGTTATAAGTGCTTAGGTGAATTTATGGGCCTAAGTATATCTGTTCAGGTTGGGAAAGTTTTATCTTCAAATATGGTGTCATTATTATGTTTTCCTTCATTTCAGTGACCTGGCTGCTGCTGAGTGAAATTTTCCCTGGTGGAATCAGAGGACGGGCCATTGCTTTGACCTCTAGCATGAACTGGGGTATAAATCTCCTTATCTCCTTGACATTTTTGACTGTAACTGGTAAGAATGCTTTGTTTCTTCCCAAGTCCATATTCCAAATACTAGGCATAATACACTTTTCCTATCTGAAGAAGATTAATCATCACTTAAAATTTAGAAATAAAATACAGGGGCCAAATTAATTGGTGCGTCTACAAATATTGGTTTGTTGGTATCACTTACACCTTTTTCCATATCCTCACCATGTATGACAGACTAGCGTAGACTTCCTCTACAGCCTTATATTCACAGATCTGTAAATAGGTCTAAATATGCCTGACGTAGTATAGTGGGTTTAAGAGTAAAAGACTCGCCTACCATTTTACACATCACTTTTGGATTTATTCATAGGTATCTAACTCTAATTTCAAGACATCACTTGACTAATCAGCTATAGAAAATAACCTAACATTCAGTCCTGCTTTGCTCTAAACTAGAGCTGGCTAATATTTTTTCTAACACTTTTTCATCAGTTACATGGCCACTTTACTAGCTTAAATGAATTTAGCCTGGATTTTGCATCTAAGTAATTGCAAACAAAATTTAGCCCTCACTCTTCTATTACAAGACTCGGATACATATTTTGCTAAAGCCAATGAAGTTTACATATTTGACCATAGAGTACACCTCAGAGCATCTACCTTCACTTTCAGTCCTTGACACAAATTATTGCATGTCAGGAAATTCCATTCCCTACATGTCTGTGAAAGATAACAAAAGGCATGTCTCCCTGTGTCACTGATCCCATGTATTTTCCATTGTTCCAAGCATATTTGAAAAAAATTGATTATCCTTGCCTGAAACTAAAATGTGTTAACTCCTTGATCCATTTCTGGCACATGCTTCACTGTTGACAATGGAAATGCTGGAAACTGCCAGCATGAAAGGATTAACTGGAGGCAGTTGGAATTTACTGAAATATGCTATTTTGGCTTCATGAAATTTGCACAACAAAAACAGATACTCGTTTAATTTCAAGAAGCCTGAGACATTTCTGGCCTGCAATGTAGTAGAAACAACGACTATGAAAAAGTTTGTAGGTGTTGCAACAAAAAATCAAGGAAGTAGAACTTGACTAAACTGAAGTTGTAGACCTACAGGTTTCCAGCCCAAGGCACAATTAAATATTTGTCTTTCCTTTCCAGTAACAGTTAGTTAAAACAAGGGGGTGCAGATTGTATGGTGCCCAACTTTCCAGCCACACGAGCTAGACGAGTGATGTGGGGTTGGTCTGTGGGCTAGTTCCTGCTCAGAGTCAGCTCTTGGAGGGGTGCAAGCCTATACACTGGCCTGATCATGTATGCCAGATCCAGCCATGCACTGGCCTGACCCTGCGCACCCTGATTTGGCCATGTGCTGGCCTGGCCCCCTGTGCTAGATGTGGCTGTGCACTAACCCTGAGCTCCCAGATCCAGCTGCAGAGCAACCCGACACATGAGGGCAGGGCCATGTTATTGAGCCTGCAGGGCTTCCCACAGATTGGGAAATTTGGCAGCAGGGGAGCAGCAATAACACTGCCACTGCTTCCCCCACCGGCATCAGATTTACGGGCCAATGGAGAGCCCTCTGAGCTGGATGACATGGCTCTGTGAGCTGGATCTGGTCCACAGGCTGGAGGTTGAGTGCCACTGGTGTAAAGTATTACTTCAAGGTGGCTGAGCAGGTGAGTTAGGGTTTTTAAGACCTCACTGGCTAAGATACAAATAGCTTGTAACACCAAAAAATACTCTTTTTTTTTTTTTTTCTTTTTCTTCTTCAGACCTTATTGGCTTGCCATGGGTGTGCTTCATTTACACAGTAATGAGTCTAGCATCCTTGGCTTTTGTCATCATGTTTATACCAGAGACAAAGGGGTGCTCTTTAGAACAAATATCCATGGAGCTAGCCAAACAGTAAGTATGCAAGATTGTTTACCTTCCCCTATCTGCTACCAATAGAAAATCAACTTTTTTAATGCCACAGATCAACAGGGCACCACATGGGTTTTCTTGGAGTATCAGACTCATAAAGGGCCTGATCCTGCACATACTGAATGCAATGGCAAAGTACACATAACCCTTCCATGGTGAGGATTGGGCCCCAGAAGAGGAGACAGTGCCTTCCTTTATCAACCTCATCACTTCAGTTGTTTTACACTGAAGTATGGCCTGGTGAATCTGAATATGATGGAAGTGGAGACCTGAAAGCTTCCAAGGTTTGGTTGAGCTTTAATAAGGTTCTTTTAGATTGGGATTTGAACATGCTTATCTCAGTCTCTCAGGTCTGCAGAAGTTGTTTGGGAATCTCAAAAAATGTTGCTTCCAGAAAGTTTTGTATACACCCTTACCCTGCTTAATAGGGAAGATTTTGGTGTAGAAGCAGTGATGAGGATGATACTACTTTCCTTCGTTCTGCTGGGAATCCTGTGCATGACTGAGGCCCACCTGTTCCCTTTCACACCTCATAAGCAGAGCTGACCCAGTGTGATTTAAGTTTTTTGAAAAAATCTTGCAAATCTCTTGGGGAAACAAAAATGAAACAGTTCATCCACAGTCTTCAAACAGGAGCTTCACTAGTAAAATTATCTATGTCCTATAACAAAACAGCCACTTAATGGTCTGCTGCTATCTCTATGCATGATTCCCTTCTGCATTCTCCTGTTTATTTACTTCCAATTTAAGAAATAAATAAATGGGACTGATATTTATAACTCAGATCTCTCTGGCATGTTCCAAATTTAACTCTTCATCAGCTAATTACCTCATAGAAACCAGCTCCAGAAGTATCCAGCATAACACGTAAGAGGGTAGAGAAGCCAAAGAGAAGTCAGTCGGCCATAATTATTATTATGAGGCCACAGTACAGATACTATTAGGTGACATCCTTTCCTCTATTGAAGTCAACAGGATTTTTGCTACTTACTTGTGTAGAGCAAGGATGTCACCCATAGGGTCAGATCCTCCCCTATCTATTAGATGCCCAAGTGACTTGGGTGCCTAAGTGTGACTTCATTGCATCCTACTTGAGTGTCTGGAAAATGGTTAATAAAAATGTGGGTGTATCTGCTGCATAGGATACAAGCAGGTAAAAAAAAACAAAAACAAGCAGGTGTATTAATGGATTTTCAGGGATTTGAGGAGGATGGAGAAGCACTGTACTTCAGCACCTAACAGGTGAAGTAGAATGTGGCCTGTATACTTTTGGGTAGTCAGCAAATCACCGCCTAAATTTAAGTTGATTATTTCCATCACTATTTCTGTTGCAACAATGTTCACTGTCATTAGGTGCTGTCTATGTAAAGCACAATTGATAATAGGATAAATTGGCTGGAAAGTGAGGTTAGAATCATTCAGATTTGAAGATAGTCACCTATGTTTGACCATGAGGGTAATTAATCTCTTTACAACTAAGGGTTGTGGTAGATTCTCCATTACTTGGAGTTTTAAAATCAAGGCTGGATACCTTTCTAAAAGAGATTTTCTTGTTCAACCACATTTTATTAGTTCTCGTAAGTGTTCTTTCTTTGCACAGTAGGAAAGAATAATTCCTTCCATTTCAAGAATCCCTAGATGAAATCCTGACTAGATGATCACTTTATATATGCTTACAGTGATTTCTGGCCTAAAATCTAGGAACTCCTTAAGAATCCAACAGCGATTGCTGTCTACCTGTCTTTGAAATACAGATTCATTGAACAAATCTATAGGCTCACTTTCTTTTGCTCTTCCTTTTCTGCTCCATCCCTAAAGAAACTGCAGCAGAAATAACCAGTGAGGATTTGTTTCATACATTAGAGTGTTTTCTGGTGCCATATAAAACTAGTTTAAATAAAGAAATTAAGCAAAATCTGCCATCTAGTGGAGAAACACATTCTACAGCAATTCATAGGAGACGCTTGGAAACACAGGGTACTTTTACATGTGCTTCAGGGATGGAGGGGGCAGTACTTTAATTAGAGCAGTTCTAAGAGTTGTCTTGTGTATCAATGTCTCCACACGCCAAAATGGCGGCAGGGGTGCTTGAACTAAAGCTTGTTAGACAACCTTTAGTTCAAGTGCCCCTGCCACCATTTTTAAACATGGGGACACTAATACACAAGATGCAAGAGGCTGCTGGAGTGCAATAATTGCCATGCTCCAGCAGATCTGATTGAGTCTGCTCCAATGCACTGTAATTCCAGCGCATCAGAGCAGCCTCTGTGCTTGTGTATAGGCACCCATAGCTTCTAAAAGCAGAAGGAGGAAACAAGAGTAGGAAACAATGCCTGAGACTGTGTTCGGATTCTAAATGTACTTCCATGTGGATGACAGACACACAAATGAAAATAATGATTTGCTGGTAGAATGTTGTTTTTTCTTTATACATTCTGAGGAAACCCCTCTGAGCCTCATATCAAATACTTTCCTTCAGTATCCAACATCCAACCTAATTAATAAGTATGGGGTAGTGTCTTTTACCTTTGCTTCCTTTGCATTAAGCATAGCACACATCAGTCATTCTACAGCACCCATATTAAGGGAGAACCACAACTTTCCTTGTGTTCTCGGTCCTGGGAAAAGATAGTAATGTGTAATTGTCATCCTCTTCACGTAGAGAACAGAACTACTGAAAGTTGCTGTGCAGTTATGATACCTATATATACAGATGGCAGGGTAGATATGTGCCTTAATAGACTATCTAAATAAGTCATATAGAGAGAGCACAAGCTTTCATGAACCCAAGTTCACTTCATTAGGTGCTATGAAAGGGCACCAATATATATAAGCAGCACTCAAGTTTAGATTCAACAGAAGCTTTGTTCCTTTTATTACTGTAAATTTACTGTAATTACTCATATCCAAGATGAAGTTTCTTGTCCTTGTTGAACATGGGGAAAAGCCACTCATCCTGGATTTGAGTACAAGGTGAGGGGGCCAGGAGACTGCTGTGGTTCTGACTGGCCCTGAGCCTGTCAGGGCTGGAAGCAGAGCTGCAGCAGTCCCCTGCCACCTTTGCTCCCACAGTCTCTGACCCCTGGTGCCTGTTCCTCTGCCTCCCCCCTCCCTCCACTGCTTACCATCTGTTGTAGCTCCAGCCCCATTCAGGCTTGAGACACAGAGTGTATGGTAGCTCTGGCAGTGGCCTGGCCACACAACAGTGGTGGCAGTGGCAACAGCTTCAGCACCCCAGGGCTAGCTAGAGCTGTCACTGCTCTAACTGCTGCTGCATGACCCAGCCAGGGCCAGAGCTAACACATACTCTGTGCCCTATACCAGAGTGGGGCTAGAGCCATGACTGAGGGTAAGTGATGGGGTAGAGGCAGAGACTGTGGGGAGCTGGCAGGGAAACAGGTACCAGGGGCATAGGCACTGTGCGGGGAGCAGGAGATACAGATGGCAAGGGGGATAAGTGGTGGAGCTGCAAGGGGCAGGAGTCAGGGTGCCTGCCCCCTCCATCAGCTGTTACCCCTGCCACAGTTTTCTCTGCTGTAGCAGCACAGGGGCACAAATTTAAGATGACCCTCCATATAATTACCCTCTATATAATTAGATTCCATGCATAGAAATTAATAACAATTTTTCCATATATAAAATCTAATTACTGGGGGGGGGGGGGAGTCATCTTAAATACCAAGTCATCTTTGATTTGGGTAAATATGGTATTTGTCAAAGAGATTTATCCAGCAAATCCTTGCCGTGGCTGCTGGTTTGTTATTTGACAAGCTGCAATCAGAATTTATTCTACATCACTGACCTGCCCCCAGATGAGGAAATATTTTAAGGGCAAACACTTTCCTTGTTTTATTAAATGCTAAATGCTTGTTTTCTTTCAGGAAGTATGCGAAGAATACCACTTGCTGGATCAGCCAACGAAGAGAGAAATTAGCACCAATAGAGCTTCCCAAGAGAGAACACTGTGAGCAGTTCTACTAGACTTCAGAAGGATGTTCATCCAAGGGCAACCTATGTGGCCTTCTCAAGAGAACTAATACCCCAAAATATTCATGAATGCTATTATGTGAGAAACCTTAGTATCTTATATACACAAACTAGTCTCTATTCCATTTCAAAGTAGTTTTTCCTTCAGTGACAATATAATTCTAAAATTTAAGATTTTTGTAGTTTACAATTCATTAGAATCCTAGATTTACCCTACTTTGTGCCAGCATCTTTCACCTCCTCTGAACTTACCAACCCCTTAGATGTGGAAGGTGAATGAGTGCTGAAATACTATGAACAATTCTGATCAGCCGTCTTCAACCAAGATGAATTCAAACCAGAACTGATACAGAGGAGGACTATGAGAACTAGCACAGAAATGGAGAGTCTATGTTACAAGAGGAAAGTAAAAGAGTTCTTCTACTTTAGCCTAGCAAAACAATTGTGAAAATTTAAGGGTGCATGCACTAGGAAGGGAGGAGAACTATGTGAGCTAACAGACAACATTGGGCACAAGAACAAGTGGATGGATATAAAGTGGACCGTGAATAAATTCAAGTTGAAAGTTAGAGCAGTGATGTTCTGGAACAGGCTTCCAATAGGAGAAGCCTGAGGTAAGATATAGAACTAGTTTTACAGGGGAGCTTGAGTACTTCAAGGAAGTCCTCGAGGGCAACTTGAAAAAATGAAACATTGACATCAGCTCGTGGGAGACTATTGCCCAGGACCTCCCCAGGAGGAAGAGTGTTGGAAGAGTGTTCCTCCCCAGGAGGAAGAGTGTTGGAAGAGTGTTGGACTTCGAAACCTTACAATGACAACAGGAGATGGAAAAGCAGGAGTGGCAGATATAGAGTGTCATGGACCAAATCAAGAATCTGGAGCCACCTGTCTCTCATGGAAACACATAGATGAGTTGCAGCAGTCTGTCAATCCTGAATCGGTCTCATCAGCCATCTTTAGACCCACACGTAAAACAATCATATGGAAGACAGTCATCCTTGACTGCAAGGGATTGCTGAAGTATATGATATAGTTGTCTGGAACAGTAGGAGACTGATCTTGGTGACCCAGTAAGTCTCTTCCTGTACTATGTTTTTATTAAATGAAGCAACAAAAACTTTTGAGACAGAGGCATCTAAATGCATGACCAGCTCCTTGAACTGGTGTAGGCCCTAAAAGAGACAAAGAGAGAGAGGTTTTACTTCCCAAATCATACAAATCAAGATAAAAACAATTAGAGTTGACTCTGAGATTAGTTTTCATGTCCTAATGCAGCCTTGGGAGTATAAAGGAAGAGTTTGTGTGGCACAATTAATAGATGGTAACATTATTATTTGCATACCTACATGCTGTAAATCTAAATCATTGCTGTTCTGGAAATATTGTGTCAAACTTGGAGTGGATTCCTCTGAGTCATTCTCTGCTTATTCCAAAGTCCTGGTCAGGAACACAACTGCACTCTTTCAAACAATTATTATGTACCACATGTTAGGCATTAGCTAGCTCATAGTTGTTTCTCAGTGAGCAATAAGCTTGATTACTAAAGGCAATCATTGATCCTCTGGATCATGGTGTACACACAAAATAAAAGCAATAAGAATTGAAGCTACAGTGCTGAACCACTGGATTTGGAAGACTACCGTAGCAATTGGCTGATAGAGGAGGTCTTGGAGAAAACAAATTAATAAAACACAAATTGTCATGATCCAAACCATTGTATACGCTGAGTAGGACCTCCAAGCAGTAATTCATGGAAACCATAACCAACTAGTTGCATTCCTCATGTCAAACTGTAGCCATGCAAAGCAGGAGGTAACAAAGGTTATCATATCTCCACTTCCTATGTGGCTTAGTTGGAAATTTTTCTGATCTCTTTGCTTAGAAGGCTGATAATGCTCTGGTAGAGTGAAGTCTTTCAAGTTTCAGGTTTTTCCATCAAGGGTTCAGAGGACCATTTATTAGCACAATATATGCCCAATCAAAGCCTATAGAGAAGCTAGAGAAGAGTCAGGAACAAACTTATTAATAACAGTAATTAGGAATTTAGCTACCTCAGAATGTGAGCCTACTGTTAAGAGCTCCATTATATCCTTCCTGCTATGGAGATCTGCAACCTAGATCCTGGGAGAGTTGACCAAGTCCTATCCAACCCTTCCTGTAAAGAGGAGATAATAGTCAGAGCCTGTTCTGCCAATGCAAGAACAATACACATACCATATTTTCTAGAGTTTACCTTGTTTTAAATTATATATGCCATGGTGCTGCTATCGTAGGTGACAATTCTAGAGACTGGTAGATGTCACAGTTGGCTAGGGTTTATTTAATTCAAGCATTGCCGCTCAAATATAATATTATCACAGGCATCACAACTCAATGTTAATTTCAGGATGTACATGGTGTTACAAAGTGCTAACCAGGACATTATTTTCCCATTCTGTGAAGAGGTTAAAAATGAAAATGAAATGTTTCTATTCTGCTCTGGGATAAAACTGAGATCTTTCAATATTTTTCATGAAAAACGAGAGTGGAAGAGACAGCCCAAAATAGTCAGGTGGTTTGGAGAGACAAGGATCCTTGTGGTGATATCTTTTATTGGACCAACTGCATAGTTGTGATAAAGTTAGACAAAATTTCAAATGCAGTGTATTCTCCATCAGCTTGGGATCCTCACCTGAGATAGGGGACACCCAGGTTCAAGTTCCTAGTCAGAGTTCAACAAGGCAGGGTCTCTCACACCCCAGCTGAGAACCTATGTGGCCAACCCAGGGTCTCATTCTGACCCCCACACTTCACCCCAGATGTGAGAAACCTTTGGTAATGAAATCTGATTTAGAACTAGAATATATCTGGGAAAGGCTCACTGGAGGACTTGGCAGTCTCTTGGTTTTCCAGCAAAAACCTCTCTTGTTGGAATTCCTGATCAACTTCAGTAGCAAACAAACAAGCATCTAAGGATATGGATAAGGTTTTAGAATCATGATTTTTGAATTCTCGGGGTTAGCCACACTGTGGCCACGTCTACACGAGATGCTGACAGTGCAGGTTGTTACTGCACAGTCATTTAGTACTTGTTTATACAAGTAACTCAGGTTACTGTGTGGTAGTACTGATGAACATCTTTTTTATGATGCTACTGTGCAGTCATCTACTATTACTGCACAGTAGTGTTGCATCGTGGTTTTTGCCACACTATGCTACTGTGCAGCAGTATTGAGTTACTGCGCAGTAACATCTCATGTAGATGTGGCTGGTGATACTCGGCCTCAACGCCTTTTATTTTACCAGTATTGTTAGGTTAAAAATATATTTTTAAAAATACCAATGCCCTGAGTCAGTAGAGGCCAAGCTTTTTGGCTGGCATGCTGCAAATTAACCAAGCATCCTCCCAGCATCAGACCCACTTTGAACCACCATCCCCTGCCCATGGCTGCCCATGGCCCTTGTGACATGCATGCGACGGGATGGCTACCCCTGCCCTAGATTATGGAAACTGACAGAATATTAAAATACATATATAAAATATTATTAAACCTATTTGTTTACTTTTTGTGGTTGCGTCTGGGCAGTTTTGTTTACAGAAAACAAGAGAATCAAATTCACTTCCACAGCCTCAAGCACTTCTGTTGCACACATTGCAGTGCTCTTAAACTTACAGTGAAATTAAAACCAGCAGACATGAAATAGGCTGTTGTTCTTAGAGACTTGCAAAAACTTGTTTCTGAAAAACAAAGTGTGGGACAAATTCAACATGACGCTGCTCTTTTCATATTACTCTATTCTCTGGACATCCATTTATATTTTTGGCACTGATGCTGTACTGAGCTCTAGGCAGACAGACCCGTATGCTCACTACATGATTACACCAGTAGAGGATTATCAGTGCTGTACACCTGACTCAAGGCTAGCTATCTTTCTTCACAAGTCATTCATTTGAAGCCGCCAAACCACCCTGTCAATTTGTCAGCAACTTTCCATTACTAGATGTGTCCAAGGCAAAATTTAGTATTCTTGGTGCAGTTTTTGCAGCAGTCCATAGCAAGAGACCATTAATTTCTTGATTTGTGATACGATGCCTCTTTGCACACATTGTACTGGTTTATTGCCAGCATTATATTACTAAAGGTTTTCTGTAATCACTTTCCATGATCAGGCACTATTTCCTTCTCGGCACTGCACTTTTCTAAATAAATCTTTGAGACTGAATTCAGTGTGTTACATCGCACAAGTGTTTGCACCAAAACATAACTAACGTCTGACTTTGAAAATACCAGGGAACCTGCCTTCCAGCTCCACAGACACTGGGGATATGTAGAAAAAGCAATCCTCCTTCCCCTGAAAGGGCATGTTTGTGCTCCTGCTCTCTCACCTCATCATTCCTATTGACCCAGATATCTTGTGCCAAAAAACAGTCAACAAATAAATCCCACAATTTATTTGAGGTTGGCACAGGAACACAGCCAGCATGAACTTAGCTGCCACTAACTAGCCATATATCTAACAACTCCAAAATGAGATACTTCGGTGGACAATGCTTCCTTGCATTTTCAAAAGCACATTACCACAAGTCCTGTAGACAGAATTGCCATTCCCTGCCCTCTGGAAGTAAGAGGTAGTAGAGACACATACATCTATCACCACCTGTTACAATAGGTATGTCTTTATCTTAACATATATTGTCTTACCACACAGGAAAGAGATCTGGGCGTCATTGTGGACACTTTAGTAAAACATACCGGCTCAGTGTTCAGCAGAGCCACAAAGGCAACCAAAATGTTAGGAATTAAGAACAGAATTGTAAACAAAACAGAAAATATCATTATGCCCATCTCATGGTGTGGCCACACCTTGAATACTGCACTCAGGTTTGGTCCACACCTCAGCTAGGGTATAGAAATAGAGAAGGGCAACAAGAATGAGTAGCGGTATAGAGAAGCTTCCATATAAGGCTAAGCCCATTAAGTTTAGAAGAGAGGTGCTTCATGGGGGACATGATAAGGGTTTACAAAATACTAAATGGCAAAGAGCAAGAAACAAGAATTTACTTACCGTCTGTCACAATGAAAAAAAAATAGGAAGTTACACAATTAAGCTAGTAGGAAGCAAGTTTAAAATTTACAAAAGGCAGTTCTTTTTCACGCAGCATGCATTTGAAGTGCACAACTCACTGCCACAAGATGGGTTGGAAGCTGACAGTTTAACCTGATTCAAAAAGGGATTGTATAAATTCTTGGAGGAAAAGTGCATCGGTAGCGATTGAATATGGGAGTTAGGGATATAAGCCTCTGCATTATGACTTCCTAGACCTTATATACTGGAGGCTGCAAGCAAGAGGAACAGGAAAGAAACCCTGGTCAAACCCAGTTCACTCTCCTTTTCAGCATCCATTCTCTGCTATTGTGTGACACAGGATAGTGGGTAAGGACTTGTGACTTGACCCAGGAAATGGCAGATCTTGTTCTTATATCTCAGTTCATTATTTTTAATTTTAACTAACATCCTTCCCATCTCTTCTTCCAGATATTTATTAAAGATCATAAACCAGAGATGTCAAACTCATCAGTCCCCATGGGTTGAATGAGGGTCTCAGGCCTGATCTACTGGCTAGATGGGAAGGGCTAGTCCGGTGGGGTGCTACATGCAGCATGCTCCTGGGTGGACCCCTGTACTGTAGGCAGCATGCACTAGCCCAACTCTGAGATTTGGGCTGACTGCAGCATGCAGGCTAGACGTGGTGCCACGGACATGGTTCACAACACAGGACTGGTGCAGGATGTGCACAGCCTGAGGCACAGGCCAGACAGTTCTGTGCACTGACTCTGGCATGACCCAATCTGGACCAGCCACAGAGCCAGTGCCACAGAGTTGGTGTGGCATGGGTGCTGCTTTCAGCTTGCACCTCAGTTCAATCCTCTGTGCTGCAAGCAGCACCTGTGGCACTGCGTCCAGCCTGAGCACCAGACTGGCTTCATACACAGGGTCAGTCCAAGACTCAGGCTGCATCCAGCCTGTCAGTTGTATGTTTGAAAACCCTGTTTTAAACACCAAACATACTGTAATCAATTTAACATGGATCACTGAAGCACTCAACAGGTTGTCTTCCCCATTTTGATATGCCATTACTGTTCATCTACATTCCAAGTGCCAGTGCTAACTTCTAAGCTCTAGGACTGGGACACACAATACTTTCATGTTAGTATATTTTACATTTGTTTTTAAATCAAATGTAAAATTGCACCACTGTCTGTAATGGAGGGTTTTGACCAGTTACCTCAAGGTAGCTACATGCAAGAAACACTATTGCAGCACCTCAACACTAGATGGCTGGACAACAGGATGGCCTCTTTTCCTTGGGCAATACTATCCCTCAGATAAACTACAACCCTACACCTCCATCAGCGTAACTTACAGAAGCATACTTTACCCCTGAGTTTTCAGAGGGTAAATTCTGTGCCAGTTTCAAGTTATAGTGGTGGAGAAGTACATCATATGCTTGCTTCCTGCTCCCCCCCCCCTTTTTCTTTTTATTTACAGTAACTTGGAAGACAAATCATATTGCTGTAAATGTGTCTTGTGTCCAGGACCAGAAGCATTTTTTGTTTACATTCATTGATATCACCTGCTTCATTACTAATACTCAACTACTACACTACTACTACAGTTGAATATTTTGTAATTTGATCAAAAAGAGAAAGTCTCCTTCCACAGCTATGCTGACCAAACTCTTCAGCAGTTTAGGACCAAAATCATATATTTGCTCTTCACCATCCCAACACCTTCACGTTATAGTTAGATCTAGACAGACAATAACTAACTTTACTCAGCATATTTACTAAATAGTAAGGAAAAGGTCGGAAACAGCATCAATTATACTTAATTTTGATATATCCATAACTTTTCAAAACACTCCCCGTGGTCAAAGTGGGTTAAATATGTTGCTAGAAGATGTCCATCAGCTGTCATCCTATTGGCATGTCAATTTGTATACTTAAGTAGTCCTTTAGCTGTTTCTTAAGCTATGTACTCAGAATTCTTTCCTAATGACATCTCTCCTTTTTCTTGCTTAAGATACATTTTAAAAAAATGCAATACAGATTGCTGTCATTTGGACTGAGTTTAGCTTCTTTCAGTATCAAATGGCATGTGCTTTCTTTCCCGGAACTTAATTTCCATTTTATATATTTGTTTTAACCTTTCTTACTTTTCACACTTAACGCTTCCAGCAAGCAATAATTCATTCTGCCTTTTAACTTCTGTTTTTCTTTTCCTCTACAACTTGTGACTACATGATTCCTGTTTGTATCCATCCCTTTCTCCACCATTTCTAAAAAGACAGTGGTTATTTTCCATTTCTAAAACAGGATTCCACAAATTGTCTCTCAAACAGATAAAACATTCTAAGCCTCAGCTGTAGTTTCCTTTAGGGTACTCCACCCTTCTTTGACAGTTATTGATTCTATGTACAATAGAAGTTCATAATACAATAATAGGATGAGTCTTTAAAGTTATACATCACCTGCAGTACAAATATGCACACAGCATTCAGGTTCTTTAGGTTCAGATAGGGGAAATAGACATGCATATAGTTATACATATTTATTGTCATTTTTAAAAGTAGCATTTTCATTTACTTTATGTATTCACCTGTCCACTGTTCCATATGTGCACATTCGAAGAGAAAATAAGTACTGCCTTGTAAGTCCAAGATTAATATCAATAAAACCACACGCCAGATACAAACTTTGTTACTTGCTGGCAGTTGCTGTCAGGAAAATATAATTATCCAACAGAAATAATATGGAAAAGGACTTTGTTATGCCTTTAGAAGTAGCCTGGGATTAGATCAGTACAGCCACTACATTGCTTCATTCCAGCTCTAAGAATATGGTCTTTCCTGAATAATGAAGGTTTGTCACCAGGAAGAAACTCATGTCATAGCTCCATTTTTTCCATACAGCCCGTGGATAAAAGAGTTGATTTTTCTATTACAGCTTCTCAAGTACATAAAGTTTTCCATTGTCTGCAGAAAAAAAATCATTGTTGCAGGCCATAAGGTTTAGAAGCATCTTCTCTTCAGCAACACAGAAAGAAACAATTCTTAAAATCTGGCATATAATTAAGAAAAACTTAAGGATGAACCAAATTCTGCCATCAGATACATGTACGCGAGTACCAGATATTCCAGTCAAGTCCACTGCATATTATTATACACATATACTACAAAAAGAAACAAAAATATTAGCAACAAGCTATCCTTACATTTGTTCCAAATGAATTAGCAACTATACAATTTTAACTGTAATACGAAAGAGGAAAAGGAACGTAAAAGAACAGGTATGAAGAAAGATATTTTCCAAACTTTTATTTGTGCACATTCATCAAGTGAAAAAAGTTAACTTTTACAGCTTCTTTGGTGCCCAATATTCAGCATACAAAAATGTAAAAGACTATTCACAAATAAAACACAAGCTCAAACTAAAAATGTTTTAAAGGTAGTGCACATCGTGACAGTTTTGCTTATGAAGACACAGAAATTACTGCAAAAATAAATAGAGCGTCTTTTAAAAAGCAGCAATTTCATATCTTGTAAACTTTCATTTTTACAATACAGCACTGTTCAAAATAAAATCCAAACGGGCTGGAGTTTACACTGTGGCCATGAACAAGTGAAAGAGTCTGTATTTCCTCAGCTATTGTTGGTCCAGTTTTCCTTTTAGTCCAATGTGCAGCAGTCTTTAAAGGTGCTTGGTTAGGGAACCTAACCATTAAGTGATGAATTATAAAATCTCTTTCCTGCTTTCAAACACGAACGGATAGATCTGTTCCACAGCACTGGCAACAGCCTTTACATTTGGCCCTGACACACATTAAAAAATAGAGGGAGGAGGGAAAGAGAAAAAAGGTCAGGACACTGGAAATTAAAAACAACAATTTCTCAAAGTTGGCTACCACAATTTTACATTGTATACACAAAGATTATTTTTTCATATACAAAAAAACTTTCTTATGATCATCTTAGTATTTATAGCAACCCTTCCCTCCCTCCCCCAAGCCCCTTAGAGTTTGTAATGATGTTTGAACTAGTAGCTGGTTAGACTAGAAATATATGTATTTCTTAGATTTTTTTCCACACCCTATCCAGAAGGCTTGTGAGGCTTACAATAAAAACAGCCCAAGTCTTCAAATAACCCCTTCAAAACCCAAGGACTCCACCTGTTCCCTCCCCCCATGTTTTAGCTGTCCCTGTTATCCTGTAAGAAATTATATTCCATGCAACATAGCACAAGACAGAGGCATCCTACGTAAATAGCAGAGCTTGATTGGCATTACCTAAACAAACAGGTCAGATGCCTTCTGACTAGTTGCTGCTCTAAAAACCAAAATTCCCCAGAACAAAACATGGCTATCTTAATTTTTCATTGCATCCAGTCACAGGCAACTATTTCTAAATTATAACAGATTTTAACCTAGTTGCGATTTAGACATTAATATTGCAGCCTGAGTTAATGAACATCTCTCCCATCAACCTCAGGTCATAACTTCTAATCCCAGTTATGGTCTTTATTATACTACATGTGGGGGGGGAAAAAACTGAGAAAGATGATCAAAACTTTGGATTCTTCAATTAAACAAGTGTACCTTAAAACTCCTCACCATGAACCTGGTTACCTCATCCCCCACTTTTCCTAAACTATGACCACTTTTAGTTCATTTAAAATAATCTATTTAGCCTGTTAGAAGTATTACTTTCTTCCACAGCTATCGGATGTTATCGTTAAAAAACAAATTATCTGGTAGCATTAGAAAATGAAATCCCACATGCTTATCTTGCTGTTGCTTTAAGTCTGATTTCTCTGGCTAAACTCGTATGAAAGCTAGTTAAATATTCCTAACAAGTCAAATATTTATTCTGACATGAAGTACCTGTTACTGTGATACTGCCTGTTGAAAAAATTTGTAAAGTAGCTCTGAGAGTCTTTATTCTGTAACACACTGCAGGATGAAGCTCTGGTTCATAACTAGAAAACAAAGGATACTGTCAAAACTAATTCTATAACTTCAAGAAAAGAGTTAAGAAAAATAAAAGATGACCGTTCTCTTGAAACCTACAGTACCTAGCATGAGGTCTATTGTTCTTCGTAAATTCTGGCAATCGGATTTCAAAGGGCATGTTGCACACGGCTAGAACATTGACAACTTTAAAATCTGTGAAAATTACCTTGTGGAAAAAAGAGAAAAAGTTAGATACTTGATTCTTCAGGGAGAAAAAAACCTCTAACAGACAATCTGATATTGCTTCAGTTAAAAACCTTGTGGTTTATGCACTCAAAGCATCTGCTAGGACTAGGTAAACTCTTCAGTCATTTGCTGTGCAATACACAATTCCGGAATGGTGTTCTTCTAAAAGTACAAAACTGCCTTTTCGTTTTCACTTAGAACGAAATATTGGAGCTTGCACAGCCTACATTACTATAGTAAATACCAATAAATTATAAATGGGCTAATTGATGTCTTAGAAGCCATTTGAATGACAGAAAAAAGTGTGGTTTGTAGTTACTAGAACCTATTGAGTTGTTTTATACTCTTGTTCATAGAACCTTTTCATTTTATTTTTACCACAGTTCAGAATCTGCACTGTGCAGAAATGAAATGCATCTTTCACTTATCTCCAGCAGGCAGTGCCGAGAACCGCTATTCTACCTTTACTGAACTCAAGCTAAATTTCAAACTTCCGAAAGCTCTTTACCCATAACAATGCTATGCTACAACATGGTAGCCAAAAATTGCCAGTGGACAATGTCCAACTGAAATAATGACATTATGACAGCTTTTTCCTGGTTGTCAGCATAAACAATGTCAATGAAGAAGGAACATGCTCTTCCTCAAGCTTTCCAAAAAACTCTTCTTGGCCTGTGAATAAACCCCATGATTTCTGGTTTGAAAAAAAAAATGTTAAGCAGGAAAGACTCCTTAGAAAAGAAATCTCAACATGGATCTGGACATAGATTCATAGATGCTAGGGTCTGAAGGGACCTCAACAGATCATCAAGAC